CCTTGACCCTGAAGCGTGAGGATATCGCCATGAAAGCGGATATCCCAAAAATCATTGTCACTGGTGACACGCCAGGAGGCAAAAAGTCACCAGGTGATGTGTATGTTCGCAAGAAACACGTCCACTGGCTGAAGTCCCTCCTGAAGAATGGCTACACCGTCAAGCGCGAAAAAGGGCACAAGCATGGGACGATCAAATCAGGCAGTAAGAAAAGGAAAGTCATCGAGGTAGAGGACACCTACAAGGTGCCAGAGAGTGGCTTCCTCTTTACCAGCCGCAAGAACGCCAAGAATGACCACGTCCACTATCACGCCGTCTACAGCCATATCAAGAAGCAGGCCCCTTTGTTCCTGCAACACCTCAGGGACAACAACAAGAATTGGCAACAGGAATACGCCAAACTCCGACCACATTCTGGCCGAGCAACTCTCATCACCGAATTGATGGGCGAGGGCTTAAGCACAGCCATGAGCATGAAGTTCGCGTGGCTTGGCCTTACTTACTGCAAGTCAGTATTTCTCTTTTGGAAAGCGTGGCTTACAACAAAAAGCAGTGAGTCTTGTACTGAGTGGGGCCATTGCAAACCGTGCGTTTGTACTGAAATTCAAACAAGCCACTTGTAGTTCAGCACGACGCAAACGCCCTACCAAATGCTATTTTTAAGGTGTGTCTATTCCATTGGATGCCAAGCAAATTGGCTCGGCCTACACTCTGCGCAAAAAGACCTCTGCAGTCAACGAAGGTGTGTGGAAGCAGTCAGGCAACCACTACTTTACATAGGCAACCATGACAAAAGCTTGGCTGTCTGAACCTGAACCCTTCCAAATATATCACTGATGCCTGTTTTCGGCAAACCAGTGCATATTGCGTAACTAGGGCCAAGAAAAGTGATATTAACGAGACTGATGATGAAATTCCACTCCGACTGAGCCCATGCCAAAAGCTGAAAACGAAGGAGACATGCGCCTGGGAGCGTAAAAGTGCATCTGCGATATGGGCAGCTGACCTTGAAGGACGTCAAAAGGGCCGTTGATGAGATTGACATCCCCAACAAGCCCTCCAATTGGTCGAAGTTGCCCACAAAGAAGCTCAAGGCAGCGCGGGCGGATATTGACCGCGAGCTCAAGAAGCGTGGTCAGTGACCTCTGGCCCCTGGCAGCTTGGCACAGACATTCATTTCCTTGTCTAAGGCCAAACAACAAAATGAGGGCAACTGTGCTGTTTTTTACAGCTGTTTTCAAGGCTCTTGCAAAAGCGTTTTCCATGAAGCTTCTACTGCAGTTGGGCCTCAGCATTGACCCTTGCTGCACTTGGGCCTCAACATTTTGACTAATCATTACTTGTTGAGATCTGACCAACCAGTATTCAAACTGTGTGGTGACCATACGACACGAAAGGAAAGAATAATGTTTGTCGTCAGCCAAACATGGCTAAGGCTACTGCCAACTGCCCCTGTGCAATGGAAGACCTTGACCTAACAAGTATGCTTTAGAGCTATTTGCTTACTTCATGGCCGTTTCGGCCTATGGTTTTCATACTTCCTGGCCGGGCCCCGGGCCCGACCAGCCCAATCCGCCCCAACCAACGCCGCCACCGCCCAGCCGCCCAGGCATGCCTCTGCTTCTCCTGGCTTCTCCTGGCCTCGGATTTTTTGGCGCTCGTGTTGACGTGGATGGATGGAAAGCGAAAGTGCTTGCTAAATCAGTCTGTCACGCACGAATGTTTGCTCCAACCAATCACCCACAGAACAACCTTTAATACTAAAAACAGTTGCATCGCTTGACAGTTGCATCGCTTGACAGTTGCATCGCTTGACAGTTGCATCGCTTGACAGTTGCATCGCTTGACAGTTGCATCGCTTGACAGGACAGTTGCGTCGCTTGACAGGACAGTTGCGTCGCTTGACAGGACAGTTGCGTCGCTTGACAGGACAGTTGCATCGCTTGACAGTTGCATCGCTTGACAACTCAGGCAGCCTTTGTGTGCCTTTGTACTCTCGCGAAACGTTGTTGATGCCAACATCGTCAGGGGATTTGGAATGACATGACACTGCTGACACGACACAGCATGCCCGCACCCAGCTCTAGAAGGCGATTGTGTTTGCAAAGGTGCTTTGGACCTTCTTGGGAACTTCAATGATACACGGCCCACAGGGCCTGAGGAACTTGTGTGACAATTGTTCAGTGAAGGCCCACGTGGGGAACTCCTATAACTCACTAGCTGACCAGTCAATAAAAAGCCTCTTGTTCACCCCTTGCCATTGTAAAATCAAATCGCTATGAAAAAGGGAGAGTTGACCAGCATCTCTGGATTTCAGGGGTAGGTCCAGCTCACACACAGCTCAATGTGGCTCCTCCTCTTAAGAAACATTGACTAACTCAAGGCAAGTGGAACCCAGCCCCCTTCGCATTCCAATCTGCATTCTGAGTGCCCAGACTTGCCAGGCAGGATGACGGCGAAGAAGACGGTGGAGAGGTTGAAGATGAGCCAGGGCGCACCCCACTTAACAAATTCTTTGGTTCCCCCAGTGACTTCAGAGTGGGTTTTGTGGTATGGCCCCAAACTTGAGGAATTGCGCAAACAGGCTGCAATGCTTGGCTGGCTGCAACGTGTTGAGTTTCAAGCTGAGGCAGCTAGTGTGCGTTTTGAATCCAAACTAAGCACTTGCAACAAGCTAAAGACTTCACTAATTTGACCTAGGCGCTGGCAAATAGCATCTAGAAACTTTGCTTCTCATTGAGGTCCCAGCAAAAGATATTTATGTATATATGATAATCCATGATAATCCACACATTTATATGTGTGAGGAGAGCCTAAAACACACACAAAGCCCAACAGAAGCCACAAACACCAAGAAAATGAAACACCCAAATGCAAATGAAACACCCAAATGCCATGGCACTGGCTTGGTGGGGTCGGTGTTAGTGGGTCCTCCCCATAGATTCCGGAGGAAAAAACGGTAAAACAGTAAAACGGTTTTACCGTTCTCCCCGGTAAAACAGCAAAACGGTAAAACGGCAAAACGACAAAACGGTAAAACACACATCCCATCAAAGGCTTGAGGGGGGAGGGCCGCTAAACCAGCGTGTGCTGGTCACTTGGCCTTTGCCGGGCGATGTTTCAGCCCCTCGCTTGAACGAAAATGGCCTCGAAAACAATTGGCTTGCCCCTAAATGCCTTGGTCGGGTGTTTGCCAACCTGCAAAGTTTGAGGGAATCCCCAAGTTCTTAGCCTAGGTCCTCCAGTAGAGAGGTTTGAATAGGGGTACCCGATGTGTTATTGTTCTTCTTCTCTCTGTAGTCTATTTTAGTAGGGGAACCCTCCCCAAAAAAAGAAACGCTAAAAGGGCACTACTCTAGGCTGGAACTAGGCCCGCAGCAAAAAACAACGTTTGCATGGTTGGTGGAAAACAAAAGGGGACCCCCCCAATTTAAAAAAAAGGGAACTAAATGGTGAGTGGAAAACAAAAAGGGGACCCCCCCAAAAAAAAATAAGATGCCGGGACTCCTCCTGGGGAACGAATTGGGGGGACCCAACGTCGCTGCCTGAGCATAAGTGCCAGGCTGCCCTGGATGCCGCTGGCGACGATCGAGAAGAAGGCCGCCGTGCCCCACATCAGGCTCTGCAAATCCTGAGCTACCCTCCCAATCTTGGCAGCTGACAGGAGGGTCTTGGAAGACGATTTTTTTCCTCTTGGGCAACTTTGTCCACTTCCATGATTGTTGGACAAAGGGTGCGGATGGACGCGAAATCGAACTCCGCGAGTCTCGCACCGCCTCAGAAGCCTAGGAATGATTCGATTCCCCAACGTAAATACCAACAAACAATGGCAACCATGGTTTCAAAGTGGTGCGAAATGGATTTCGTCCAAGTAAGGAGAAGCTGAGATGGGTGTGGGTCAACAATGGGGTAACCCCAAAATGGCTTGTCCTGGTAAGTGGAATGGACCAAAACCTGCGGTTCCCGGGTGGTTTAATTTTGACCCATACCCAAATCTAGGGAGAACACTCCTATGATTGGCAAGGGCCCCTCAGTCCAAATAGGAGCGATTTTAGCGACCAATCAGGTCTAATCGGGGCAGAGCTTTTTTTGGGGACCATTTCCAGGGGCTCCCCTCTTTGAGGGGCCATTGACAATAGGAAACACAAGACCATCGCAGGACATACTGTTCTAGGGGTAACTTTCCCATTCTTTCCAGGGATCCTTCTTTCTAGAAAACCTCCAGAAACCCAGGGAAAACAGCCGGTTTTTGGAAAGAACAATGGTTGAAAATAATGCCGTTTGTTAAACCAAAACAAAATAACATGCTAGCCCGTCTGCGACATCTGGGCACATGCTCCAGCATGCCCCTGCGCACAACCCATGGAAGAAAAAGGAAGCAACAGGCTCAGTAGCCAGGCTCTGTGCGGGTACACACACATACATTGTATGTATGTATGTATGTATGTATGTATGTATGTATGTATGTATGTATGTATGTATGTATGTATGTATGTATGTATGTATGTATGTATGTATGTATATATATATATATATTCAGTTTCCAGGGTCTGGTAGAATACGTATTTACAGCTTCAATCTGCCGACAACGCGCTTGACTTTTTTCTATTGGCAGTTCCTAGCACCATGTTTCGTGGATCTCTTGGACGCGCGGGGCGAGGCCATCATCATTGGCAGCAACATCTTGCACCACTTGGAAACCATGGGAAGAGTATTCTTCTCAAATTTATGTCAAACGCCTGGTCTAGGACAAAAACGTGGAAACGTCGAGTCTCCTTCTTATTTTGTATTATGTCAAACGCCTGGTCTCTACCACAAAAAGGTGGAAACGTTGAGTCCTTCTTAGTTTTATGTCAAACGCCTGGTCTCTAAGACAAAAAGGTGGAAACGTCGAGTCTCCTTCTTCTTTTTTGTCAAACGCCTGGTCTCTAAAACAAAAGGGCCCTGGAAACGTCGAGTCGCAGACCATTTGCCAGCGAATCGAGACGATTCTGCTAGTCTCATGTGTGCAACTGGTCTCCGTGCCAAGACTCCGAGGCATAGCGCGGCTGATCCCGGGAGAGCTCGGCACCCTTGGAGTCCACGATGACGTCGGAGGTGGAGATGGCGAAGTTGATGGCCACAAGGGCACCCACCAGCCTCGTGCTGTTGGAAAAACGGAATGTGTTTGGTAGTTCTTTCCAAAAACGGGATCCGTTTTCCCTCAATTTCCGGAGGTCTCTAGAAAGAAGGATCCCTGGTTGGTGCGTTTCTTTTTTTAATTCTTGGGGCTCCGCTGATCGCCAAACCCACCTTGCGTTGGACGAAATCCTGCAGTACCAACCTCTGGAATGATGACTTTTCTGTGAATCATTATGCCAATAAACAGTGGCTTACCATGGAAACCCCAAGTGGTGTGTCCATCCACAGGAAGACGGGAGTGGCTCAAACGGGCCAACTGGTTCAACCGCTTCAACTGGGCCAAAGATTTAGCCCCCCCCCACCCTGCGCATGGCTGGTTCAACCGGTTCAACTGGGCCAAAGATTCAGCCCCCCCCACCCTGGGCATCATTTGATGGGGAAATGAATTCACAACCAGTCATACGATTGGTTTCACTCTGAAGTGATTGCTAGTATGAGGCACCTACCTGTTTGTTCGTCGGAGACATTCGGGCAAAGGCTCCCGCGAAACTGAAGATAAACACGAAACTCCAAAAACGAAATATCAATGTGAACAAAGGGCAAGGGTATAGAAAGGGGCAAGCCAGCGCAAGGGGCAAGCAAAAGAGCAAGGGACAAGGCAGAGAAGGAGCAATGCACAAAGGGGGGAAGAGCGGGAAGGCTAAAGTCGGAGCACGAACAAGGAACGTGCAGAGAAGGACACAGCAGGACAGAAGCAACGGAAGGAAAGTAGCGCTAGGCGATGGCACTTTCAGATTTCCCTTGCGGTCCCGCAATGTGAAAAGACACCCATCGTTGAAACAGTCAACTACTTCATCATGTGCCATCAGCACGCAGCTAAACAAATGCCAGGCAACGCTAGACCCGGCAAGGCCATGATGCCAAGAAGGATGTAGCCGAAAATGCCGAAACAGGCAGCCAGGATCATGTAGGATCTGCGGTGGTAGCCGCCTGAGCTCAAGGTGGTTGGTTGGAAAAGTCACCTCTCTAAACCCTTAACATTACCCATGCATACAAGTGGGTCATTGCGACCTAAAACTACTCATAAAAGGGTTATTACCTCCACCTAAACCCTCTGCTTGGCTCTTGCACGCTCAATGATGGTTGGTGATTTCCTTTTTTATGGGCAGTCCTTTCACGTCCGGGTATTCCTCCCGCGTTTCATCATTGAAAACCGACTCAAGCCACTTTTGCCGCCAGGCCACACAGGGGCATCGCATCCTCGGCTCCAAGATAGGCCGTGCCCATATGAGTCATCAAAACCCAAGGTAAAACGGTCGACGCAGAAGCATGTAAAGAATTTTCAGAAGGCGGATATCCGCAGCTATGCATGGCAAAGGGATTGTCCCTTACTAACCTTCGTCTACCCGGGGTTTGATGGTGGCTCATATGCTGGCTTATGTTGACACCCAAAGCCCCCATGCCGGCTGCCAGCACTTGGCGCGAGAAAAAAAAACAAAACAAAAAAAACATCTGCAACAACAAATACCTGGATCCCCAGTTGCCTGGATTGTCCAGCTACTTTTGCCAACTTTTCGGCTACTAGTGGGTAAAGTGGCTGGAAAAAGTGGCTACTTGGGGATCCAGGCAAAATTCAGGGAATTGGGGTCGACAAGCTCCCACCCAAACGAGCCACACAGACACAGACACAGACACAGACACAGACACAGACACAGACACAGACACAGACACAGACACAGACACAGACACAGACACAGACACAGACAGACACAGACACAGACACAGACACAGACACAGACACAGACACAGACACAGACACAGACACAGACACAGACACAGACACAGACACAGACACAGACACAGACACAGACACAGACACAGACACAGACACAGACACAGACACAGACACAGACACAGACACAGACACAGACACAGACACAGACACAGACACAGACACAGACACAGACACAGACACAGACACACACACACACACACAGTTGCGTCACGGGATCCCATTCTCTTCTAGCAATTTGTTACATCAAGTATGCTACACGCATATATGTGTATATGTGCAGCTTCCCCCAATTGGTCCATTTGTGGATTGGATTGGTCTGGAGCTTAGGAGTGGTTTCCCATTTACCCACAAGAACCAGCTGTTCAAATCCCCAACTCAATCCAAGCCACCGACTTGAAATGCGTTGCCTTGCACAAAACCCATGATTGCACGCTGGGCTGCTGGTGGGCTGGTTCAGGTTCATCGTTCAATCTTCTCCTCCATTTGTTTAAGTCCTCTGGAAAAAGTACACATATTTCCAGTAGTGATAGATTCCCGTTTAAAACCAACAGTGGACATAACAAACAAATGTAATTTCAGCAAATGGAAGTCTTGTGGAAAGCCGAACAGCCTGAATGAAGCGCGCTGTACAGGCCATGCATCGATGAGACATTTGTTGGAAGCATACAGCAAGCATGTTGCAAATACATCTGAAGGATAGAACTCGAAATGGCCATACCGTGGATGGACAATCCCATTTCGCACCACGTGGAACCATGGGGAAACCTTTCGTTTGTTGGTATTCACACTAAAATATTCATTCCAGGTTCTTAGGTGGCGCGAAATGGATTTCGTGCATCCACAGTACCTCTTGCAAGCATAAAGGTTTACGGTGAGTTGTTCTGAGTGGAAGTAACCTTGACCTTCATCTGCCTGCTAAGCAGCTGAAATCATTCCGATGAGAGGCTTGAGGTTCCAGGGCAGGCTACCGGCTGTTTTCAGGCGCCCCATCGTAGCACCGTCCAAACCCAGGACATCTTGCATGTAAAATCGCAGGGCGAAGCTGCCGATGCTAGCCTGATCAAAATCAAGCGCTTGCACGGCCAACTGAGTTCTCATCGAAGGGGCTCTCTTTAGACACTCAATAGCTCACGTAAACAGTCGTTGCAAACTAGCGGATTGCACAATTCATGTTTACCAGCCAACGTTCGTCTCGGCGGGCCCCTACACAACTATCGCATGAGCCAACGCCCATTGACTTCTGCTTCTACCAACATGGTCATAAAGGTCTGTGTAGGCCTAGCCAGTAGAACCACCTACTAAAATAGCCAATCGAGGATTTCGACGCTCACAGCACTTGGCGATTCCCTCTGGACTGGTTTCCCCTGGTGGCCCAGCAACTGTTTGTCACACTGCACGCTTAAAGCCCCGAGAATTCCATCACCGGGCCCCCACAGCTGCAAACCGCTCCAAAACACGCTTAGCCGGGCCGTCCCGCCGCCACAAGATCCTACTGAAAGGTGCGACCTTTGTCACCTCAAAATCAGTTAAGATAGTAACCCCTGGTGACTCACTTGGCCATGGGTCTCAAAGCCAAATCGTACCAGTGAACATCCCAATCCCCACTAAAATAGGTGGTGCAGCTACCAACCAAAACGGCACCATTGGTTTTGACCCACAGCCACTTAGTTATAAGTTTCCCCGTTGTATGCGTAAGGCTCCTAGGACACATCCAAACACTCGCTGCTGCTGAAGGATCCGGATCTCTGGTAACCATTTCGGGGAGCCCTTTGGACCCGATGCCAGGCTCCGGCCAAACGGTGATGCTCCAAACTGGAGTGGGATTTTCGGAGCCTCGCTCTCTGGGTACACTTTTCACTTCTCAAAGAGAAACCCAAAGGAACACCGCCGGCACAAAAAGGTGATGTCCGCTGATGTCCGCCAAGAAGGGACATATTAGCAGCCCTGTACCTGACCACTACGCATACTGTTTGCTGCAAATTGTTCATCCAACTTTGGACTTAGCCGGCTGTCGAAGAATAGTTGGCGTGTCTCTCAAACTGAAACGCATAGTTGGAGACTTCAGAGAAAAAAAGAAGAATAAAAAACACGCTGTTGCGCTCGGCCGGGTACAAGCGCTGAGTAGCAACACTTTACCTCTCTGCGAGCAAACAAGCACAACCCTCGCGGCACCCGACTGTGACTTCAACAATGTCCTCTCGAACAGATCAACGCATGCTTCCATGTTCGCGTCGAAAAATTGGAACATATTTCCAGTAGTGAAATCGACTCCCTTTAAAACCAAAAAGGGAAAATAACATATATGTCTTTCAGCAAATGGAAGCATGGCCTTGCCACTTGCAAACCGGGCGCTGAGACACTCTGATTCACCCCGTACCTGGGCGAAGACCGGCAAGGTTGTGCAGGCAAGCTAAGTCGCCGTTTCCTGGGTTTAGGGTTTGGGGTTTCAGTTTAGGCCGTGACTGGTGCCTCCCAGATTAGCCGCTGACAAACAAAGAAGCTCAAGGGAAGGAAACAAAGTGAAAGCAAGGCAGGCAACAAATCCATGCAAAGCAAGGCAGCCAAGGCAAGACAAAGCCGCGCGAGTATGCAAGCGAATGGAAGGTGATCAAGCGGGAGCCCGGGAAGTTCCGATATCAGTTCCGTTGCCCAAATGTTCAGTCAACCTCAGTATTAAGCCAGGGCTGTGGGAAACAACCAGGGCTGCATGAAACGACCACTTCTGTGATGCCACAAACAGGGCTTCCCAAAGACTAACACGCCCCCCTTTACAAGAAGACTCCTTGCATCACAGAAGTGGTTGGATACACCCCGAGTGATCCACCACAACCCTGGTCGGGGCCCATGTACAGAACTCAATGGCCGGAGATATCCGCACCCATGGCACGGGGGTTGTACCCTCCAGCTGCCCGGATTTTGTTGCTCCGGTGGCTTAGGCGGCAAAGGCCTAACAAAGGCACAGCAGGGCGAGGCAAGTGACCCACCACTTGTTTAACTAGACACAGCATAGCATGCAGCATGTTAAAGATGCAACCAACAGTAAGCACAGATGCGCACAAGCGAGCAGCAAACAAACAACAAAAACAACAACAACGGCAAACAAACAGCAAACACAACACGCCTGTACCATGCTTTAAACAGCAACATATATGTTACACTGTTTCTCTGAAAGTAAAACAAAGGCTTTGTCAACGCTATTGTGCCCCAGCGAAAGGCACGATGGCCGAAGGAAGGAAGAAATGCAGCAGCATGTTTCCTGCCAAGCCTGTGACTCATGTTTGTTGAATGCTGCAAAACTGACAAACCACGGGCGAGTCATAATCAAAACCCGGGACTAAAAATGGTCGAAACCCAGAACCATGTACAGATATCAGAAGGCGGATATCCGCACCCATTTGTGGCTGGGAGTGTCCCTTACTACCCTCCAATTGCCCGGGTGGTGTGACTCACTTGGGTGTGTCGTGTTTTTGCAGGCTGCCCTTTTACAGCCGGTCTGAAGGGACATCAAAAAAATGAAGGCCGAAGCCGCTGCTGTGGGGGTCCGCGAGCCCGACTCAAACCCACAGTAGTCCTGAGAAGCCTTCCCCTGGTCTGAGCAGTTCAAAGTGACAAGACGAGCAGCTGCAAAAGGATTGCAACCAAAAGCAAGTAGGGATGACACGCCTAATAAGAGCGATCAGAAATTTAGTATCGGCTTATATTGTCTTAGTATTGGGTCCCGAGGTGACTTCCTGCATGTTTGCCAAGCAAACAATCATGTATATAGGGTGGATTTGTTAATAGGGTGACATACTCCGAAAAGCATCATCCGAAGGGATGAATGCAATCAGTCTGACATATTCCGGGATGGATGCAAGTCAGCGCCCAATGGAGTGAAGTCTTCTATTCGCCCTCCCCGTCTCTCTTCAGAGCCAGCGCCGCCCAGGCACACCAAGACAGTCAGCGGAACGAACATGCCAAAGTGAGCGTACAGCTCCTCAGAATCTGCGTTTTGGCAATTCCCATTGCAATTCCAATGTTTGGAGGCCCATGGGCCGACCAAAATGCGCCGTGAGTGCCACTACCCCGAGGGGTCTCAGGGACAGCAGGGTCACAAATGAATGGTTGTTGGAACCTGGAGCCACCTCGCACCGTCAAATCCACTTCGAAACGCATTGCGGCTCCTGAAACCAGCCACACAGGCCGCTTCTTCTCTGCTTCACTGGACGCGGCGCCCAAGCAGCTGCGTCATCTGAGGCAGAGCCGACTTTGACATCCTGGCCGTCCTCTGAAGCCCCCTTGGGATCCAGCGATGGTGCCTCAGGTTCACTCTTCGACGCGAGTCAAACCTTGTTGCCGAACGCCTGTAATCCTAAGCTACCAAACCTGGCGCCAAACCGCCAAACAGCACTCTCTTCAAAACAATTGCC